CCCCGGAGGACACGTGGATACCGCATTCAAGAGGTCCCTTCGGAATTATTCGCCAGGATTTGATCTCGTTTGGGAACTGAGTCGCATAGAGTCAATTGGATCAACACAGAAAAAAAGTATAAAGAAAAAGGTCAGTAGTTATTGTTTTCCACAAGTTATGCTACAACGGTGTAATATTTAATTTCATTTTTGGTCATTTTTTCACTTTATGATATTTGTTGCATTTAATGCATATACAGGTTGTCCCAACGATAGTGTAAAGCAAGTTTACGCTTAACCGGTATTATTTATTTCAAAACTCTCATTGTCATATTGTAAAGGTTCTGAACGCGGACATTAAAAATAAAATCTCACTCATACAGTGTGCAACAGGAAAGTTGCAGCGCAGAAAACAAAGCTTATATACAGGGTGGTTTTTTAGTGCGATAGAGTCCATTATTTCCGAAAAAATAGTTTCATATAAAAGTCGTTGACGCACAAAGTTCACACATTTTAAAAATATCTTTTATGATACAGAGTGTCTCAGAAAAGCGAGGCAAGATCAAAGTGTAATTTTTTTAAACAGAGCTAGCCGTTTTTCATTATCTCATGGAATGCAGCTTGAAACGCTGCATATGCACCGTAAATTATTTTTTTCTTACTTGCGACGTTGGCAGATTATCGTCATTTTAGTAAAATTTTGCTTAAAAACATGCTATCTAAAAATTCATTGTAGAAGCAAAAAAAAAACAGTTAGAAATACAAAAATATACGTTTTCTAATCACCACAGATCCGTTAAGAATTCTATTCAACCAAAATATCACGACATTGTACCGGGTGTTAACAATGTGGACTTCAATCTAAAACTTTTTAACTCAATATAACTTTGGTTTTTCAAATGGAAGTACCTGCATATTAATACGTCATTAGATACACGATTTACAGAGTCACAAATTTTCATATACACTTTAAGCTGTGAAATCAATCGTTTCCAAATTATAATTTATTTTATTTAAAAATTTCAAAAAGTTTTCATTTTGTAACGTGAATATGGAAGTCAGTAAATAA